GTTGTGTTAATATGTATGGATGGATACTACGTTCGGCTGATTTTGCTTTGCCTCATGCTGGCTGCATCCTCTGCATTGAAGCCCCATTGTGTAACCATGGAAACATGATTCGTTCGCTTTTTCTCACTCTCTCCTTCCGATTTTATTTCATTTTTCAATTTTTTTCTGTTCTCTTCTCCGCTCCGCTCAATTTTTGTTTTTGCTCGTCGAACGTCGAACATCCATTGAGTTGATGATCCCGAACAGTTTTTGTTTGTGCTTTCATATACAGCTCACAGCTTTATTGTTTCAGAATGGCGTAGCGTACTTTTGTGTTCGATTACAACTTAACTGGATTTGTTTTAGGGATTTCATATGAAAGAGTTGAAAACAAGAGAGAAATAGAGCGAAACCCGTCGAAATTGGTTATGGTTTGTCAATTAATAAACATCGATTTGGTTTTCCATTGATTACTACTTCGCCAATTCAAGGTACTAAATTTATCGATCGACAAATGCAGAATAGTCTATCATAATCGTTTCACTAGATAATTTTGAAGCGAGAAAATGCTCAAACTTCAAAGAGTTTCAAATGATTTTTGTATTTTAGCTAACAGTTTCCAAAAGATAGAACTTTACTTTATGAACATAAAATCGTTTATAACTGAGATAGTAGGTTTTCAATCGATTTTTACCTGATATTGTGTAATTTTATTTGTCCAATTTTTCTATTTACGAAAGAATTTCATCAATCATTTCATCCTACCACTGCCACTTTTCAGTATCATTCGAATAATGAATTGCATTTGATTTAGCGTAAGTGAAAAATACTCCACTGTAATCATCTGTCACAGAATCAAAACGTAAAATGTGCACATTTCAAGCATATCAAGATTGCATGAAAAACTGAAGAAAGTAAATGATTTCTGTAAGAAATTCAATTTTTAGTGGAATTTTGAAGTTCATCGACTTTTATTCTTCTATTGTTCACAACATTTTACGAAGGATAAGTGTGTGCAGATGCTGAAAATCAAGCGATAGTAGCAGTATGATCTACTCTTTCCGAATAACTACACCCAGAATGAATGATTACCGTTGGTGTTTTATCGATTAGAAACCGACTCGAAACACTCCCGCTTGGTGAACTGTCGTTTAGACAGAGACAGAGACAAAGACAGTGTAGAGAGAGAGTATAGTGCTCATGATGTTGACGGATATACAGAGCACTGAATTCGCTTTCCGCTTCACATTTTCTGTCGATCCTCTTGGGAAAAGAAAAGTACAAGTAAAATTACTTTGAATGCAATGCGTTCTATTTTCCGACTTTTTCTCTTCATTCGATGTCAATTTGACTTTGTTTTGCTGATGGTATAATTTTTGTTTTCATTTTTTCATGTTTATTTTTATTTATTTACCATGCATTTAAGAAACAACTTTTTTTCTATTGGACGAAACATTTTCCCCCGAAATCGAATTGTCACTTGCACTGATTGCAATAGAGTATTTAAATACTGAAATTGCGCACGAAAATAGTAAGCGAGAGCTGTTAGTTATGTCCATTTTTTGTTTCCTGTTGGAAATGACATTCGTGGAAAAAAGCGAATCACGTTAATATCTGACAATTTATTATTTATAAACTTCAATTGTGACTGGGAAATGGATTTCAGTGTCACTGAATGCATACCATGAATTTCATTTGGTACAAAATTTATATGAAGCAATGAACTATACTTGTTGTACTCTGTTAAGTAATTGATTTTCATCGTTCGATAAGCTCCTCTGTGGCATATTGCAATTGGCGAATAGGAGCAGTTATGAATAAATAAAAGGTTGATCACAGCATAGTTTTTGAAATGAATACAAAACCTTGACCCACATCTACCTTAATTGAACGAATTAAATGAATAAATTGGCTGATGTGAATGTGACTCAAATACATAAACTAAGCACATAAGACAAAATATGTGCAACATATGAAACAAAAATTGTCTAACCTTATTTTGATAGCAAAATACATACACATGCACGAATATCAACACAAAAACTGTCTGACTGTGTTTTGTTGTCAATTCTATGTGTTGTGTTCGCAATGATGATGTCGACGTTGACGATAAGTGTACACTACCAGTGAGTGGTACAGCATATTTCGCATAAATATCAATAAAAGGTCATAATATGTTCGCTTTTAAAATAAATTATCATCGAATTCCCACAAGAATATCAAAACAAATGGTCAAACTTATTATTAAGACATTTCCCATTTGTTGAGATTTTGTTGAAGAATCTCGACGTTGAGAGTAGAACAAAAATGAGCAAAATGTGCTTTGTGTATGTGTGTGTGTGTGTGTATGAACAAAAGCCAACAAATATATGCGGATAAAATGTGGCAAAACTAATGCCACAAAATAGAAGATTTTCGGTGGTGAATCGAAATGATTGAATTGTGGATGGGGTATATGTGTATCGTTCGCAAGTATTTTCAACTAACCGCTAATGTATTTATGTGATTTACGCGATCTATTCTCTTTGTAGCTGCTTGTTTGCCATTGTATGTGTTAACAATTCGCTCAAACGAAAAACTTAATGCATTGAACAACAGGACTTGTGCTGAAATTTACTCTATCCAAACTGATCCTGAAAAAAAATATATGCATTTATATATACATATATGTCAGCCATACTTTATTACTTTCAATTACATTTCAGCCGAATAATTGACAGTGTGAAACAATGTTGATATAGAAAAAAAAAATCCGGAGTAAAAATGTATGTCAAAATATGTACATAAATAGTGTTTGTGGAAATGCTTATTTATGTTGACTTTTTGATGCAGTTGGATATTTTGCGTGTGAAGAATGAAAATTGTGATGAAACTAGATTGGTTTTTTTTTTTAAATCACATCAAGATCGACTCTCAATACTTCAGCGTGAACAAAATAACGCCTGCTTTTTTGCTTTGTCTAAACGCTTATTCACTGTTCATTTCAACATATGTAAATCATTGGCTGATTTTCCATTTTTTGTTCTTTAGTACGGTCTTTGCTTTTGTTATTTTCCAACAAATAATATGTAAATCAGTTGCTGTGCAAATCAGAGTCTAAACCCTTAATTCTTTAATCAAATGCATATACCCTGTAAAAATATTCGTCTCTGAAGATTTGCGGTGTCACTATAAATAATTGATTAGTAGTGGTGTATGATTTGCCTTTTTTGAACATTTGTTTTCCGTCTCTGCACTTTTTACTCATTTTAAAATAAATTGTGTCAGCGGGGAGTGATGGGTTTCATGGTTATTATTTCGTATTCCTCGTTTTTTTTTTTTCCTTCATCGTTCGTTGCACCCAACGACGCGCATATTTATCCAAAATTTCGAATGGGAGAAGGAGAATGAAACGAATCCGAGTCTGTTGCCATGTCTAAAGTGAAGTGAATGTGATTTTCGAAATAAATGCATCTATCGGTGATTCGCAAATACACCTTTGCATTTTTCGATTTTCCTTTATTTTCTTTCACACATCGCTATTCTATTAATATAAATTGTGTCCTTCTCAGTGGCAAAAGGCATTCTCAATCAGTTTGTTTGTTGAAACTGCGTATTTTCTGTCCCTTTTTATTCTACTGTCATATTTAAAGCCTGAATTAACTTTTAATGGTGCAAAGAAATTTATTTGGTATTAGATTGAGCATTTAAAACGGGGAACCGATCCAATTCGAATTCTGTCGGAAAATACGACACTATCACAACTGAATCATTTGCAGAATGCTGAGCGTAGAAGGGAAAAACAGTAACAACTAATACGCAATCTGTTGTAAAAAGGCGTCAAAAACACGTTTCAACTCAAACAAAGGGGGGTGGATGTTGGTTGAATCAACTAATGCGTTGGTTTGAATGCATTCACATGTTATGCGTGGTTGTTGTTGTTGCGTTGTTTTTTTTTTTCGACTGACATCTTCGGGGTGGAAATGCCATTTGAAATATCTACTAGATTGAGTGTGAATGAAGAGCAAAAAGGAAAAAAAAAAAAAAACTAAACACATCCCGAGCAGAACCACACAAAACGTTTGCCTTTTGAATAATAAATTATTATCACATTATGTTGTTTTGAATAACATTATTTTTATCATTAGCTTTATTGCATCTCACATGGTAATATAATGCTATTTTATTTGACAATACCGCACCATTTACCATTCAGTGGAGCGAATGATTTAAATATTAGTTGATGATTTCATGCCTTTCAATTTTGGTTTTTCACTTCGCCTGAATCTGAATTCAATATCAGGTGATAATTTGATCAATAGTTTTCGTTTCTTTGTTCGTTTCTTTATTTTTTTTCTCGATGAGATTGAAGAATTTTCTCATCATCTTCCTATTTTTCTAGCTTCATTACTTGGGCATATTATTCGTTTTCGCTTGAAAAAATGTAAAAAAAATCTCGGTCAGCAACGCTTCAATGAATAAAAAAAGCGGAAAATATTCGACTCAATGCATTTGGGAACATACACCTCGTTAAACCTATTTTGACTTTTGAAATTAAGAGCCGTCACGAATAGTGCCCGAGTCTCCCTATCGATTCAATGCTCCAGAAAATAGACATATATCATCACGGAAAAGAAGAGCATTATTTTTGCATTATCTGGAACATATTTAACACCTGCTATCTAAAACTGTTCGCTACCCCAGTTTATAACGAGTGTTATGCTCTTATGTACGACACCCGAATAAATGCTTTTCTAGGGGTCAGAAATGAAAGAGAGAGAGAGAGAGAGAGAGAAATAGAACCAAGCAATACACACTATACTATTCGATTTCTGGCGAATAACACTGAAGACTCGTTTGATGCAATCCCATTCATTCAATGTGATTTTAACCATATATGCGAGTGTATGGAATTAACATTGTGTGTCTTTTGAAACAGATAAATCAATTCGAACGATATTAACAGTTGAAATAGTATCATCAATATTAATAATTCTCATTTGTTTGTATGTTCTATCTTTTTTCAATTCACACCAAATCAGGTTTGGTTCCAAAATCGGCGCGCTAAATGGAAGAAACGAAAGAAAACCACAAATGTATTTCGGACTCCAGGTGAGATATCGAAAATTACACAACGTATTGTTCTTATAATGTCCGAATCCTATAAATTGTGCATTCGCACTCGGCTTCACTAAATTGCTCACAAATGAACAATATAGTGCTGTCGTTATGGTTTAGAGTTTAAACACAAAAATAGCAATAACAAAATTTGGAACGAATTTTGTTGATTTTGTCTTCCAAAAATAGGTGCGTTGCTACCTTCACACGGTTTACCACCATTTGGTGCAAATATCACTAATATTGCGATGAGCGAAGGACTATGCGGTAGTTCGATGTTTGGCAATGATCGGTGGAGTGTTGGTGTTACACCAATGACAGCAGGTAAATAATTTTTTATTGACCGCGTATTTTTGTTACTTTTTTCTCCTATTATGCATGCAATTCATTTAATATAAACGGCAGATGTTAAGTTGTGATTAGACGTACAAAAAATAATATTAGATGAATGAATTTTAACCAATTTTGATTGACTGATGAACTAACCCGTCTCTTCTATTTCGAAACTAACCAATGCCAAACACTTTAAATGCAACTAACCACGCAACTAACCACCGAAAAGGGTTTGGTCAGCTTAATCAATCAACCTCACTTTCTTCATCAATAAATAGTGGTTTAAATACGGGAATAAATATATCATCGATGGGCGCTGGAGGCTATCAGCACTATGGACTCAATGCGTTGGGTGAGAATGAATATAACGAATTCTAGTTTGATGACTAAAACTGTTTCAATTAAAGTCTTCTTTTTATGTTGGCCTATTTGTATCGCATGTTTTTACTTTGGTTTGGTTTGGTTTGTAAAACTGTAGAAAAAGAACTCGATTTCCATTGTAATCGTTAATTCCAGTTAATTCGAAGGCAGTTTTGATTAGTGTTTTAACCTTCTTATGTTAATGGGTTTCGTGTCAATGTCGTAGCATTCATGGTAATGATACAATGGGAGAACGAAACCAAAAATCAGAGAGAAAACAGCATCGTTTCTAATGAATCGGCCACAGAATGAAAATGACCGGCGAAAAAAAGAATGGTCGACAGTCACAATCGTGACTCTAAACACTAATTAACGGACAAATAATATTTCGTCGCCTTTTGTTACTCGAATTTATTATGCATTTTCTAATAAATTCAATATTTAATAAGTATTATACGGCATATAAGCAACTCACAAATATCCTGACATCAGCGGCTGGCGACACTCGCCGCAAACACACATAGACAAAATCGATAAAATAGCAAAATCTATATCATTGTTATCGCATACCGTCTACATTTACTGTGTATTTGTGTGCCTGGGCCATCGGTATGAAATTACACTCCGAATGTTGCTATTGTTCGTGCTGAGCGCAGCAAAGTGTTCTTTTTCATTCTATTATACGTTTTCGTCTTGTTCGTTCCTTCGTCTGTTTCTAAATTTATAAGTCACGATCGATAAATATTTACTTAATTTTTTCTTCTTCACTCAAGCGAACTTTGTTGAAATTTTAATAAGTGTAAAGTTTTAAACACGATCCAAATATATTGCTAATACATTTTTTTTTTTTTAGTACAGTTCTGTTTCTTTTCTCTTGATTTCACCTCCATACATAATCGTTTTGTCTCTCTTTTTCCAACGTTTCGCATCCAAAATAACATCTTTAAAAGTTTAAAAGCGTCCGCTTAGTATGTATCTTTTTGTTGGTTTTTTCCTCTATTTTTTTTTTTTGTGCCTCGCAACTCGAAAAGAGAAAAAACAATAATTAAATATTTTTTTTAGGGTCGCATGGAATTCGACAATTAGAATGTATGATTTGAGTGATCGTCGAAAAAGTGTTAATTGTTGTTTGACATTATAAACACATTTCATTTCGAGAGACAGAGGCAAAAAATATAATAATGGTAGCGATGGCGACACTAGAATTATTGAGAACAAAACAAATGCTTTTGTTGTGTAGCCGACAAGTTTTTAGAGTTATTTTCAGCTGTCAATCTTCGAATAGCAAACAATTTCTATGAAATGATCAAAATTAAATCTGAAAATGACACATGAAAAAAAATATACATGGAGAGCGGGAGAGAGAGAGAGAGACCGCGATTCTTTTTGAATGCATTTAACATTTTACGGTGAAAATATGTCATAAACCAACGGAATCGCTTGACAAGTATGATCTCATCGTTCAATCGGCGAAAATGCATTTCAAACTTTAAAAGCTGAGACAAAACGAGTGAGGTTTAATTAAATACATTCCATTTCGGGCATAGTATCAATGGCAAAAATGCAGAATAATGCAATGCCCAAACTAATTGACGACTCACTCCAAAAACTTCAAATAGCTCAATAAATTTTGCGATATTGTTCATCTCTCAATCTCTCTCTCTCTCTCTCTCTCTCTCTCTCTCTCTCTCTCTCTCTCTCTCTCTCTCTCAACAACGTCAATCGATTGGAATTTTTGCACAAAACAGAGTCGATGCTGTTGCTCTTTTTCTTATTGTGTGAGAGAGAAAAAAATGACGAAAAAGAACTAGCTTTGTCCGATAGGAGTTTTTTTTTTTCCATGGTTGCAATATGAATAGAATGAAAAAATATAAGTTGACTGAAATAAAAAAAAAAACGAGTGAATGAAATATATTTGGCAAAGTTAGTCGATGCGACAATGTGTACAATATCAAAATGTTTTGTTATTTTTTCTCTCCTTATTGTTATGCAGGCGACTCGATGATGTACCAACACACAGTCAGTGGAATCGGTTGCTCTGGTAATTCACCAACATCAACTCCGCCCAACATAAATGCATGCTCATCGTCGACTCCGCCTCTCGCCAACTCAAATCATCAAAACAACAACTCCAGCCACGAAAACAATTCAGATCAATTGGTACGTATGGAATTGCGCCTCACTTTGCTTTGTTATCCAATTCGAGCTTTTATTGCCATACACAAAACAACATGCAGGACTAGACTTGTCTAGTCTGCGTTCGTTTACTTGTGTATGTGTGTGTGTGTGTGTGTTCGTGCCGCAGCACCGCACTGGTATAGAACCAAATATCCATTACGACTCTTTGCGAAAGGAATTCATTTTCCGATGGCCGTTTGAACGCTAACCAAAGAACAATTCATATTGTTGGACTATGTACACTGTGTGCAGTGTACACTGCACAATGCTTTCGACATAAATTTATATTTTCAATGAAATATTAACTGATTTTTCTTTCCTTTTCTTAATACTAAATTGTTTGGGTTACAATTGTAGGGTAGCCAAGGCACCAATCATCATGTTACTAACAATTGCCAAACAACAGATGGCAACGGGAGTAATAGTGCAAATTTGAACGGCAACGGCGGCAATGGCAATGACGAAGATGTTTGGCGAGGACACAGCATAGCCGCATTGAGACGACGAGCATCTGAGTTAAACAACTCGATACCATCGTATTTGCATCAAAATTACGATCATCACAATTCCGTTTACTGAGTATGGAAAACCATTTAAAAATGAAACAAACAACAACAAATCAAGGCACCGAATAATAGAAAATCCGGCGGATAGAGCTCAAAACGCAAATTCGAATTTGTTTCTAGTTTTTAGTTATGTGTACGGAAAACTTCATCAGCTGCAGAAGTTATTCCACAGTAATTCTACGTCTACGTATCAAATAGAATGCTTAATGAAAATTAATTACCACATACCCTGTATATTTAGACATGTAAACCCTTTCGGAAAGGCATTTAACATCTTACACTTCAAAAATGATTTTTGAAAAAAAAAAATGAAAGAAAATAAAAAGCGGACACGAATAAGAAAACAAGAACAGTAACTGTTGTGTATACGATTATTGAAAATAGAACAAAAATTATATATATTGACTTAATCTTAAGAAAGCAACAAAGCAAACTATAATAACAAAAACGATGAAATGGTTGTCAAAACGTTTTTCTTTCCTTTGAACAAGCTCGATTATCACATCCTGCTTAGACCATGAACTTCTTCATTTTTCTTTTGATAAATTACTAAATAAATGACATTTTTAAAAAAAGGAAATTTAGGAATTCTGTAGCTTTTTGAACACATAATAAATAATTGTGTATTTAAGATTTAAAAAAAGGAACCTTCATTTAAGATCACTCCGCGATTTGCACGCGAGTTTCCATACTATGCATATGAATTTAATATCGATGTGAACTGTGTACATTTCTATTTTTTTGACTTTTGGTTTGAATTTTCTAACCTATCCTATCTAATAATATCATCATTGGCGCAAACCCAAACAAAAACAAAAAAATAACACACAAGAATTTTGACGAGACTTAAATTTGTATACGAAATTCATTACATAACGTTTAATTAAAATGCAACAAATCTGATACAAGGGAATTAAGAAAAAAATAAATCTGTTTGAGACGTAGGAATTATTATTAAAAAGTGTAATCGAATAAAAAAAGAACAAAAATACAAAAAAAAAAAAAAAATCAGGAAGGAGTAATATTGAAATAAATGTAGTGTATTATAGCCTATACCTTTATATGAATTAAAATTTAAAATTATCGATAAAAACCAACACAATTTTTCGAAGAAATTAAAGAAAAACTAATGATGATAATGATGGATCAATAACTAACTAGGTTTATGGAAAACCCTTAGGATTACAATATCAAAAAATTATTGATTTGGTGAGATAAGATCCAACGAAATACAAAGACACATGCATCTATCATGATTTGGTGAAAATTTGAAAGAATGTATACGATTCCACTGTGACAAGACATACACACACATCAATATATTTACCTTGAAATATTTTAATGAATGCGCCAACCAAATATCCCAAATTCCGTTTTAATTGAAAACATAGCGGTGCACTGCCCATACAAACGTGCCGGGGCGCGTAGTGCTCTACGTCATATAGTTTGCATAACGTAGTTAGGGCGCGTAGTATTATCGTTGCACCGCTATGGAAAATTCTGCTATGCTTCGATATCGTCAACGTATACAGTGTGGCTAAATTGCCATCCAGTATGTGTTTTATATATGGCTATATCGAGAATACAGCCAAACACTGCATACGTATGAAATTACGAAGTGAACACAACGGAACATAATGAACACTCACTGTTCACTAACTCACTCAATCACTCACCTACTCACTCAACACATACACGAGTACAACACAAACGCAATAGCCGTATCAAGCATCTCATTCACAAATTCTACTCACATACCAGAAAAAAAAAATTCAAGCAAAATTAAAACTATTGTAATGATTAATATTAAATTTAAAAATATAAATGTGCATAACGATATTAATAAAAATTTAAATTAATTCAAAAGTTGGGACTATTTTTCAATTTATTTCGATGAAATCACACATTTTCATTAAAATGCCATTTTTTAAGGCATAACCAAAGCCGGGACATCTCTAATTATTGTTTAGTGGGCGTTGTGGAATATTTGTCAATATTTTAATTTTGTACAATGGTTTAGGTTTGGATTATTAAATTTGCCAAATTAAAAACATTTATTTTCAAGAGCAAATGGAAATTAAAAGCTTCATTTCTGGACACTGTATCGTTACATATTTCCATAAGATTGAAATTGAAATTCCAATTTTTCTATAAATTTTTGTTACGAACTATTTCCGGGAAAATCCTATTTGTACACGAAATGTACATTTTGTACGTTAATCGGACATTTTGTATCGTGGGGGTAGACATAAATGCTATTGGTAGCAAAAAAAGCATATATTTTTTTCTGTAAAAGATTCTTAGTAAGAGATAGAGAGAATAAAAACCACCATTTGAAATGCATTGGACAATGTATTATACGGAAATGCGTGACATAAATCGCATTCGTTTTCATTCGGAAAATATATGACACTAGGTCGCTCCGCGACTCTCTCAATTAAATTTCAGTCTATGTTTATCATCATCGATTCACTTGCTGAAATGGATTGTACACTCAATATCCGTTTTTTTATCATTCTTTATAAAATTTACATATTATCACATGGAAATATATGTTACATTACTTCTCTACCAGTTTCCTTAATTTTAGGAAAAATTCAACTATCCGTCAACATATAGCTGTGCAATAATTATTTTAAAATTAGCATTAATTGATGTTAATATTGAACAGCCAGATGTTAAAAAAATAAAATTGGTTGTACCGATAGGGTCATGTACCCGAATGTGAGCAACCTTTTTTCTTTTGACCATAAAAGCGTCAAAAATTTGAAATTTTGTACATCTGATGGCACTATTTTGTAGACGAAGGAAAATCCCAACTTTCTGCATCATTTGTTTTTCAAAATTTTAATTTTTTCCCAAAAAATTTTGAATTTTGCCAACATGCTGATTTTTTGACTTTTTCAAAACTGTACCCTAATGTGAGCCACCCCCAAAATTCATCGAAAAAATGCATTAATATCCACATAAATCATTTTAAATGTTGAATCAACAATCCTTTAAGACAAATAAATGAAGATATGAGGGTACAGTTTTGAAAAAGTCAAAAAATCAGCATGTTGGAAAAATCCAAAATTTTTTGGGAAAAAATCAAAATTTTGAAAAACGAATGATGCAGAAAGTTGGGATTTTCCTTCCTCTACAAAATAGTGTCATCAGATGTACAAAATTTCAAATTTTTGACGCTTTTATGGTCAAAAGAAAAAAGGTGGCTCACATTCGGGTACAAGCGTGATTTCGCGCCGACTGACGCTACACAAACACAAGTTGAGCAAATCACAAATTCCCTTCGGATTATTGAAAATAGAGATGAAACCAACACTTTGTATATGTTTACCTTTAAAATCGTCGGAAAAATCACACAAAATAACGGTTTATATGATGATAAGGAAAAACTCTTTGAAAAAAAAATTTATCACTTCTTTATTTGAGTAACAAAACGTATGTGAATCTGGGTATTTGATATTAGAAAAACAAGATACTGTCAAAAGAAACCGATGACAGAAATTTCGTTGACATATGTCAACGTTTAGTCCGAAAATTAAAGGTGGCTCACATTAGGGTACGGCTCACATTCAGGTACATGACCCTATTAATTAATGTTAAAATAATAACTTATCGATTTTTGCACAGCTACCGCTCAACATGCCGGCCCGGTGCCTGCCGGTTAATCCAAGTCGGAAGTATAAACAAATTAAATTATCCGTGGTTATCAGCTAAGAACACACATGATAATGAAGAACATGAAAAACAAAATTTCTTCAAACTTTTGAAAATTTAATTCGAAAATCAAATTATAAGATTCTTTTTGAGGCTGCGAGAAATCAAACGATACGCATAATAATACCGCCTTGAATTGAAAAAAGGGGCAAACACTCGCGATAGACACACACACACAGACGAATTTTCAGTTCTATTTATAGATTCTCACACAAATTTTAGAATGAGAACACAAATTTTCCGATTTTTGACTAAAATGTACTAAAAAATTTCGCTCAATTTTTTCACATTGGACTCAATTTTCAAAAATGTTGCACAAAATTCAGGTTTTTTTTTCACTCAAATCGTGTACAATACAAGTTTTTTAAATTTGACTAAATTTTTCAAATTTTTTGCGAATCGCATTTAAAGAATTAGTTTCATCGTAGTTTGACTGTCATTCAAACGTCGTAAACAACACGCATATACAATGACAGCCATTTGTCAAGTAATTTCGTTATGCGTCGATGAAACGTTCACCACCTTTATGTGTGGTGGAGTGTGCAGACGGCAAACAAGTTTTCTCATTACGTATCGTAAACCATCCAAATTGTAACAATTGAACAAATAGACGAATTTTCTGCAAAACTTTGAAGAGTAACTGTTGTTCTTTATATCATATTTGAGAAGAACACAAAAAAACTTCCGATATGAATACATGAGTCATATATTCACGTATATATAGTCACATTAAAGTCATCATTAGTTTGTATTTTTTTTTTAGAAAAGTAGTTTATTTTGAGACTACAATTAGAACTATGTTACAATTTGGATGGTTTTAGATATATTTGAATTATTTTCACATATGAAAACATATGTGTTGGATACCGTTATATTCTGTATTTGCGCAATTTTTAAAATCGGAAGAAGAATTCATCACATTTTTTTCTTTGAAATTAACTTGAATTATATGGCACAAATGAAATGCAAAAAGTAAATATACTCCACTTTTCACCACACACAAGGATGAGGTGATATTGTAAATGACGCATGACGAAATGACTTCCACAATTAAGTCAATGTGTTGGTGTGTTGTTACATATAACGAATAGTGTCAAATCACAACAACATTGAAATAAAAACCGACAGTCTAATCCTTTTCGTTCCTATGCCCTTATATTATGTATAGATTTTCCAAGATCGCTTTGTTCGTATCTAAATACATAGAAGAGATTTGACGTAAACCCAGAGACACCCTCTAGACGGTACAACTTGAAGCTGTCATTAACTTATTGAATGTGAACGATGAACATTGTCGTTTACGCACACAGTATAACACACATAAACACAAGAATCGAAAGTGCCCGTGTATTTTGACAGTTTGATGCTCACCTCGCCTAGAGGGCCGATGTCGTTTTTGAATCACCAAGAAGAACGAGTGATTGTGCTCAGCGCTGACATTTGTTGATGAAAAGATATAGAAAGACGGAAGGGAAAACCCACTTTGTACATGAAACAGTAATTTTTGTATGTAAATTCACCGCTCAGTGGAACCCGCACACACAAAAGAAATTTATGACAAATCACTAAGTGTCATCGCAAACCGAGATAAACAGTATATTATAATGGTGTTGACATACACCACAGGCCAAAATTATGGAAACACTAAAAAATATATTGTTTCTACATTTTTCAAACATTTTTAGTTCAAAACTAATATTGGTTATGGAAACTTATCGAAATTTTGACCGAATGGAAGATTTGGAAGATAACATTTGGCCGGCCCATGGCCATTTTTTGGCCTTTTGCTGTGGGAGCCAAAATCGAAGTTTTGAACGGACTATCGGATTAAAAAGATAAATACGTCATTGGAAAGATCTCGAAAAGTGGATGTCATTTTCGGTACAAATCATCAAAATCGGCCGGCGTTTGGCCAAGATATGGCCATTTCAAAATTTGGGTCAAAAATTTAAAATTTCAAATCGTTTATCCAATTTCAACGTACTACACGTCGTTGAAAAAGTCGCGGAGAGTTCATGTCATTTTCGGTATCAAATATCAAAATCGGCCGGTATTTGGTCAAGATATGGCCGATTGAAGATTTCGGTCCAAATTTTGAAACAGCCATATCTTGGCCAAACGTCGGCCGATTTTGATGATTTGTACCAAAAATGACATCTAATTAGTGAGATCTTTCCAACGGCGTATATAACTTTTTAATCCGATAGTCGGTTTAAAACTTCGATTTTGGCTCCCACAGAAAAAGGCCAAATGTTATCTTCCAAATCTTCCATTCGGTCAGAATTTCGATAAGTTTTCATAACCAATATTAATTTTGAACTAAAAATGTTTGAAAAATGTAGAAACAATATATTTTAAAGTGTTTCCATAATTTTGGCCTGTGGTGTATGCGAATGCGATAGAATTCATCGCAGAAGTAGATGTCAGCACCATCAAATACATGGTTTATCCCGGTTTGCGATGAAATTTAAAGGTTATGTTTTCTCTGTGCGTGTCTATAAATTCAGTTTCGCACTGGCACAACTGGCAAACCTGCGCTCATTCAATGAAATTTCATTCTATCAAGCCAAATTATCATTCGATTCGAAGTAGATCGATTTCTGGTAAAGATTTCAAATATTGAAAATAAGAAATCTTTGTTTAACTAATATTGGTATCACGGAGGACGATAGTCCGACAAGTGACGCCCCATAGACTGTGCATTTTTTATATTCTTTTGAAAATCTGTGAGAGAGGACGATAGAGAACATTATTATTATTATTATTATTTATTGACACCGCCAAATACTGGCTGTATGAATCTTAAATCCACATTTGCATGCATTAGCACATTGTATCATAAATATGCTCTGTGTATAGAGGCATTCATTTATACGTATAGTGATACAGTCTGCTGTACAGCTTCGATGCACAGTGCACACTGCACACACAACTGTCGGTGGAGCTGTATACACTCCCCGAAATAATTATAGCCGCACTCTCATTTTTTCAGTTTTCATAAAAATAAACGCAAATATTGTCGCAGTTTTATTATATTGTTTTACTAAGGACCGTTTACGAATACACCACAAACAGATTTACCCAAAAAGATGTCATATTTCCTATTTTTTTTGTGATTTTTCTGTTTTTGACGTGATGAAAGTGCG